GAGGTTCCCCTCTCGGCCCCCCATGTATAAAACGTCCCTCCCTTTTTTTGGTAAATATTTTAAAGAAAAAGTATCATCTTATACACAGAAAAATATGGTAATATGATCAAGTAAAATAAAAACAGCCTAGTGTGGAGACATGATGGACAAATGGAACAATGTTTTGCAGAAACTTTGGAAGCTGCTCCTTAAGAGGTGAAGATGGCATGCATAAGGGATGGCATATAAAAGTTTAATAAATAATATAAATAAATAAGCTGCTCCTTTATCTCTTTGCGCGGACTGCCCTAGCAGTTCTCTGGGCCTGTCTTGTCCTCTACTGCCCAAGTATAAAATTTGGATTTGTTTTGGTTCATCTTTTGATACTAACTTGTGCACATTTTCACCTTCATAAAAAGATGCTTGAGATTAAATCAGTCATCAGATGTGGGAGAAAGTGAAACTGACAATTGTATCCATCCATGCCAAGGGCTTTGAGCACAAACCTGTAAAAGCACCAGTTTGGAATCCCTGTATATTTAACCACATTTTTGGTGCTGAATCTCGCTCTTTTTCCGATGAGCTTCACAGGTACAACTTCTCTCAGCACGGAAACTGAATTCTCCCGCTTGCAGATGGAATTTTGTTGGGTTCTATTTTTTTAATAATTTGCTGAAATTCACAAATGTCTCCATAAAGAGGGGAGAAAGGATTAAATGGGAAAGCATGCGACTGTGAAGAAAGCGAAACTGACAGATCTGTCCCTCACGAGCCAGGGACTCAGCCTTCCCTAACTGGGCGCCTGCCACCAAAGCAGAGGATCGCTTTGTCTACCAACCCCGTTGGATCGAGAGAGTGTTGCTTGTGTCTATGTATGAGAGGCAGCGGGAAGGCTTTCTAGAGTAATTGCTTGAAAATCTGGTATCACCCATCTGGTGCATCTAAAAGTAAACATTATATCCCCAAGAGCTGAAGCACACTTCGAATGCCGAGAAAGCACTTGGGTAGGAGCAGATGACCCTGGCTCACGGGCCCGATTCTGCCTGGGAAGGCTGACCTGCCCTCCTGCTACCGTGGAACTGCCCCTGTGCTGCAGGTGACCAGGGGCTTTAAGCAGGAGCTGCGGGATGGACCTCCCTGATCCCCTCCGACCACAGATCCAAGGCAAGGAAGGGATTTGAAGAGCAAAGCGGGTTCTCAACTTGCCCCACAGTGACCTGATGAAAGCATGGCGGGTGTGCACACTCCCTTGATGTTGTTGTTTAGTTGCAAAGTCATGCCTGACCCACTATGACCCCATGGACAACATTCCTCCAGGCTCTCCTGTCCTCCACCATCCCCCGGAGTCCACCCAAGCCCACACCCACCACCCTAGTGACCCCATCCAGCCACCTCATCCCCTGCCGTTCCCTTCTTTTGCCATCGATTGTTCCCAGCATCAGGCTCTTCTCCAGGGAGTCCTTCCTTCTCATTAGGTGGCCAAAGTATTTGAGTTTCATCTTCAGTATGTGGCCTTCTAAAGAGCAGTCAGGGTTGATCTCCTCTAGGACTGACCGGTTTGATCTCTTTGCGGTCCGAGGGACCCGCAGGAGTCTCCTCCAGCACACAATCCCTTGATGTTGGAGTCCCCTTTCTTGTATTTCGTTCCTACACCACCTTGTAGCTGAAACCCTCGGGGCGATTTAGGGCATGATGCCATTTGCCCCATGCGGGACTGTGGGGGTCACCCTGCCTTGCCTCTTCCTGACTTATGTCCTGTGAAAATGGAAAGGGACGCTGCTTAGCAAGTCCTTCACTGTGTACCAGCCTAGCCCAAAACCAAATGGACAGCAGGAATGGGAATTCCTGGAACATGGAACAGGATTTAAGGCTGGGTAGGATTTGTGGGTGGGTCTCTCATTGCTATGCATACAGATGTCTCCACTTTGGGTCAGCTTTGTATCCTACATGATAATAGCTCTTTCTCAGAGTATGCCTCTTTAGGCAACCAAAATGTTCCAGAAATCCCGTGTACATAAGGGAAGGATCAGCAGACTTGTGTGAGAAACCCTTCCATGGTTTCCAGAAGCCGTAAACAGCCCCTTAAGGACTGCACAGAAAGCCAGTCGAAAGGGAAATGAAGATCCTTAAAGAATTTGTGTCTAGTTCTCTGGCTGGCAAAACTCGGAAGGCAAAACCTCCACACTGCAGGTTCTGCTTGTGGAAGGGTAATTTTACAATGGGTCAGATTATACTGCATATAGAATAACTCTGACTCAAACACACTGCAGGAGGTTATACAGAGCTCAAAGCAGCAGTGGCAATGCAGTGACATTTTGAAGTCAAAGGTGTTAGTTCCCTCCTCAGGATTTAACTCTGGAAATTCAGCATCTTCTGACTTTTCACATGGCAGTTTTCGGGTTCCCTGCTAAACAGGAACATTAACCATTTTTCCTGTTCACCTCACTTAAAAGCTGTAAATTCTGGCCTATGAAATCCCACGTCAGAATAAGCCCAGTCTCAGCTAAGCCCAAATCATTCTCCCCCTGCAAATCAACCATATCATGCTACCGCCGGGCAGAGAAGTCCGTTATCCAAGCCAGTGAAAAGCAGAGCCTCCTTATGCAGAAGTAGTATATCCCTTTGTCATCTGATGGGACAAAAATGGGATGGCTTTCCTTCATCTCAGGCAGAACTTCAGAGAGCCTACAACTGGCTGGGCATGGCTGGTGGGTCTTAATGAAGCTATTCTGCACCCTCGGCCCATGCGGGTCCCTGGCAGCCCCAATGAGGGATCACTGGAATTGCAATCCGTCAACCCCTCAAGAGCTATGCATACCCCATCCCTGTTTGAAGAGTCACTTGCAATGTTTGCGGGTTCGATGAACCCCCCTCGGTCAGTCCCATCGGAAACCGGCATTTGTGGTACCTCCCGAGGGGCAAACCACCCTTTCCCTTGCAGTTCTAATGAGGATGGATGCACATTTAACCTGCCACCCTGTGCACGGTGCCGTGGGACTCAGGAGACTATGAAGCTTCCAGGGCGACTTTGGGCCACTCCCAACCTGTCCATCTAGCCTACCTTGCAAGATGGTTGTGAGGATAAAATGGAAAGGGCAAAGAGCAGCTAAGGGGTCCTGGCTTCCTTGCAAGAAGAAAAGGCGTTAGGATGTGCATGTAATAACAACAACAAAAACAGCCCAGGCGGCTGAGCTGGTGAAATTCCGCCTGCTCGAAAACTGCCGCTGCCGAGCGCTGGTTGCACGCAGGAAGCCGGAAACCGAGGAGGCCTCTGCGAGAGCGCGATGCCTGTGCAGGGGAGGTGGGGGCTGAAATGACTCAACTCGCTCTTCTCCCCCCTCCCCACGTCTTTATCTGCAAGCAACAACCGCCGCAAGGAGCCGTTCTTTTTTTCTCGGTCTGCAAGCCAGATTCCAGCGGCGTTCACTCGGAAGCAAGCCCGGTGCACCCGAACCGGACTTTATTTAACTGACAAAGTAGCGCGCACGGGAGCGCAGCTGGGAAGCCCGATCCCGTGCGCGGGTACTCTCAGTTCAGCCCCCTAACTTGACTCTCGCAGGCCCGCGGGTGGCATCACTCCGTGGCACGGGCACTGCTGAAGGCGGCCTCATAGTCCCGATCCTACGCAGGCTTTGGCCGCGCCTTGCTTTCTACGGGCTCAGGCACTGGGATCCGGGTCTCTTGTAGGATATCCACGGGGCTTGCACCGCGCCGGAAACAACCGCCGGAGTAGTTCTAGCTTTCATTTTTGCCTGCAAAAATAGGTACGCTTCATTCATCGCAGCGGGCCGGAAAGCGGGCGCCATCCCTGCGCGCTTCATTGCAGAGCTGTCTCCCAAGCCGGCCTCGCGCCTTCCCGAGCAAGCGCGCGGCAGTTCGCGCGGGGACTGTCGCGCCCGGCCCGGGCGAGTGCTTCCTTCCAAGGGCCGCGCAGACAGGCGGGGGGCCCGGCGCACCCCCCTGTGCGCGTGCAAGAGGGAGGAAAAGCACCCAGCTACCATCAGTTTATGTGAGGCGGCCCACTTGGGCTGACGGCCCGCCCACCCACATCAAATAAAAGGCCCGGAGCCCTGATGGGCATCTGATCCCCCGGATGAAATGGATTTCGGTCAATGCGTTTTCCCAAATTGTATCTTTCTGCCTGCTTTTGTGCATTTCCCCCCTTGCAAGCAATTGCCTTCCTCCCGCCTGTCCGAACATCCCTCTTTGCAAAGGGGGGGGGGGGTTCCTAAGCCGCCAGAGCTTCCTTTAAGCTGCAGAGAGACTTTGCAGCAAATGCAAATACGGCGCAATTGTTTCGGCCCCGGGCACGGCAGCCCCGGACCTTTTCCATTCTGGCCCCAACCCTGCTACGCCGTTATAACGGGCCTCGCTCCCCGCTCGAAAAATAATCACACAGCGAAGGCCGCCTGCCCAGCGTGTCCTTCCCACGTCCGCGACGGGGCTGAGGAGACGAGCAGAACTTTGCAAGAAAGTCTGCGCGCCCTCCCCTTGCTCTTCCGCGCTCCCGCCCGCCGCTGCAACCTCGGCGCATGCGCGCGGGCCAGCAGAGCCGCCGCCAGCAGGCAGCCTCTGCCTTGGGAGTTGTGAATGGCGCGGCTGTTTGGCCGGAGCGCTCCCCCCCGCCGCTTGTTCTTTCTCAGCAGCGGAGGGAGGGGAGGGGAAGTCGCTCGCTCCCTCGCGCGCGCGCGCCGGGAGGGGGCGGGGAGGGGGCGGGGGCGCGTCTGGCGCGCCCGCCTCCCCCCCGCGTCGCCGCCGCCGCCGCCGCCTTGTTCCCTCCGCGCTCGAGAGGGAGACGGAGGGAGAGAGGGAGGCTCCGCGCCCGCCGTCTCGCCCGGCCAGGCGCCGCTGCCCGCCACCTATGCGCCCGTCGAGGCGGAGCGGCTCGGCTTGAGCGCCCCGCCCGCAGCCGCGGCGA